AAAAAAAAAAAAAAAAGAGCAACCAGTAATTTAAGGAGTTTTTATATTTTCTAGAGCCAAATGGCCAAAAACTACTAAAAAAAAAAATAGTTGTCAATTAATTTTTACCTGCTCAATAATTGACTATTTTAACAACTTTTCAGATAAATTAAATAAAACTAATTTAATAGGTTTTTTTTAATCAGTTATTGGCCAGAATTGGATCAACTCTATTATAAACCCAACATGATTAATTATTTTATCCAAAAACAATTAAACTGAACAGAAATTTGTATTTCACTGCATGTTTGGTCTCATTTAAATTCAACTTCTAATAAAATCTGTCTCAGTTTTCCACAAACCACAGAATTTTAATTTCGTTTTATAATTAAATTCATTCATCAAAGCCTTGTTCAAAACTGAGCCGTTTTAAAAGAGTGAATTAAATTTATTTCTGTCAGAGAGAGAACAAAAGCTGACATTTAAATCTCACATTTTCTGTGTTTCAGGGTAAAGCTGTAAGTTTTTCCATGTTATATCTGCTTCATTTGTTCAGGTAAATAAACCATAAGCAACACTTGAACCACATCCAGACGTCTCATAACTGAACTAAAACGAATAATCAGAGAGAAAAGGAAAAGGCCTGTGATGCTGATGTTGCTTTTGTTGCAGCTGAATAACAGCCTGATTGGTTCATTAGAAAACTATTGTGATAAAAACTCAAACTGGATTAAAACACTTCAAAGAAACAATATGAGCCACAGAGTCGGTCGTCCAAATTAACCAGCAATTTAATGTGACCTAAACTACTAGGCTTAAAGTTTCTGCGGGTCCGACCCACTAACCGGCATCTCAGGCGTTCAAACAGGAGTGTCCAAAGTCTGGTTCAGGGGCCATTTCCAGCCCCTGGTATAATTATTCATGGCCCCCCAATCTAAAATCCAAAAACTGTGAAAATTTGGTTCTCAGTTCATTTATTTAGTACAGATGGACAAAATTTAGAATATTTTTAATATTTTAAGGGGAGATTTTTACAGAAATTTTAAAAATGGAAAACGTTAGACAAAACAAAGTTTTGTCTTTTACCAGGAACATTTTTCCAAATTTTTAGATTTTATTTGAAGGGAATGTGAAGTTGGATCCCAAACCTGCAGCAACATTTAGTAAAATAAAACTGGAGTGAATCTATTCATTAAAGTTGGCAACTTTTTCAAATAAAAAGTGTTTTTTTTTTTTTTACTTAATCAGGTAGCATGATGTTGGTCAAAAGTTTCATGACTGACAGCAAGTTTCCCCCTCTGTCTAGTTTTAGCTATTCACGCTAAGAGTTCACTGCGCCAACGTCGGAGCTGAAGTA